GGTGCAGTGGGTGAGTTGTTGTGCAGTTGTAGGGAGTATTATCTACCCCTCTATAGTCTGGTGCAGTGGGTGAGATGTTGTGCAGTTGTAGGGAGTATTATCTGTCCCTCTATAGTCTATAGGGTGAGTTGTTGTGCAGTTGTAGGGAGTATTATATAGTAGTGGGTGAGTTTTGTGCAGTTGTAGGGAGTATCTATATAGTCCTGCAGTGGGTGAGTTGTTGTGCAGTTGTAGGGAGTATTATCTACCCTCTATATGGTGCAGTGGGTGAGTTGTTGTGCAGTTGTAGGGAGTATTATCTACTCTATAGTCTGGTGCAGTGGGTGAGATGTTGTGCAGTTTGTAGGGAGTATTATCTGTCCTCTAGGTGAGTTTTGTGCAGTTGTAGGGAGTATTATCTGTTACAGTGGGTGATGTTGTGCAGTTGTAGGGAGTATTATCTACCCCTCTATAGTCTGGTGCAGTGGGTGAGTTGTGTGCAGTTGTAGGGAGTATTATCTGTCTACATAAGGGTGAGTTGTGTGCAGTTGTAGGGAGTATTATATGTTACAGTGGGTGAGTTGTTGTGCAGTTGTAGGGAGTATTATCTACCCCTCTATAGTCTGGTGCAGTGGGTGAGTTGTTGTGCAGTTGTAGGGAGTATTATCTACCCCTCTATAGTCTGGTGCAGTGGGTGAGTTGATGTACAGTTGTCACAAATGTTTCCAAATGTCTCCAAACTGAAGTTTTGTTTTGCTTCATTCATGTTTTTAAACTCCGTACACCTTCAGTAGAAATTTTTGGATAATTTCAGGTAAAAAGTAGCTGCATGTTAACTTGAAAACTACCACTACATGACATCACAAGGTGGAACAGAGCATTTTGAGCTTTGGAGGTGTAGACAGGTTAATAAATAAGGACAAACATGTGTGAATGAAAGTGTTCCAGGTATGTTTTTGACGAGGTGATGACATTATAACATGACTTAAAGCTCACAAGGGTCGATTTTGCGTCATATAAGACCTTTAAGAATGATTCATGCTCATTTTTATTGGGAAAAAAAAACCCTAAAAACTCTGAGCGGGCTTGCATCTCTACACACATGACTTATAAATTTAGTAAGCCTGAATCATTCTTATTAAACTACTTTTTTCTCTTTGAGCTATGAACTTGTAATTGTGACCTTGTATTGTAAACATTTCAGTGCAATATTTGTAATTTCAAGCACATATATCTGCAAGTGGAGTATGATTTTTCACTAAGTCGACTTTTCAAATTTCTTTAAAAAAATTCAAGCACGATTTAATTTTACAGATTTTTTTTTTTTTTTTGCCGTGAAACAGCTCCAGTATTCATCCTTTTTTGCTGTATGGCGTTGCAAGAGCCCCGCGCATTTGTATTTTTGTAATTTCTCAGCTCAAAGATTGTCCTTGTTCTGCCTTTTTTCATATAATAGTTTTAATTAAAAAATCACTTTGCTCCATGTGGGGAAAAACACGTCCAATGCCACCCTCTCCTGCCTCAAGTGAATGTTTGGCAAATTCAGAACCATTTGAATGGCTTTCCCGATGAATGCTTGTCAAATCTGGGGTGTAATAGTACCAAAGCCAACCTCATATTTGACAAAGTGCTACTGTTTTTGTGTCCAGGCAGATGGAGGCATTGAAACTCCCATTTCAAAATATTACAATTACCACATAGAAATTTGCGACACTTTACTTGCTCCTCACGTAACCCCTTTGCACAAAAACAGTATTAGAGCTATTAATTTCATTCCTTAATTGCTTCATCCTAAGAGGGCATATTTTTCCATGAACAAGCTATTAAAGGGCCTGTGTCTGATTGGTAATGGTTCTAGTTTAAGAAAATGTATTTAACTCCTTTGTGGTATATTGTAAAGGCGGATATTTGTGATGAAAAGTTATTTGGATGAAAACCATAAGGAAGGTACAGACAATTTCTAATCAGTCAGATGTTGATGGATGAGAGCCATGTGAAAATAACTGTCTAAAACAACTATTCCAGACAGTAATGGTAAAAAAGAAGGATGAATTATATTGAATTTTCTACACTTCATGGGCTAGCATATCATTTTGTGACACTGTATTTACCCATGGCTCAAAATCTGGTACCAGCCACATTTTCCAATTGGTTAGAGATTTAGGCTGAATCCCATTACACCCCTTGGACATACCACTTTCCCCCATCCGTCCATTCTGCTCGTTCGTGTGTAGGGTTAGGGGTGTCCCAAGTGACCGTTACGGCAGAAGGATAGGGGAAAGTGGTAGGGTTATACAGTGTACCTCTCCAAACGAAGATTTTTTTAGAAGCACACTCCAAATGGAGGGGTATGAGCAATTTCTCAGTATGCCTTGCGAATCACCGGCAAGATGACTGCTACCACGAGCACGGAGACCAAAGAAGTTCACAAATTGTAGACGGCATGTTGGATTTTTGGCAAAAGCTCGTCGCATCTGCTTACGTCTGGTGTCTCCAACAGTTTTTCTCCAAAGAGCTACCTGTACAAAATAAAAATGCCAGAAAGCTACTACTAGAAATTGAGTATATATATAAGAGCCACGGCGAGCCTTAGATGAGGTACAGTTAGATGCCTATTAAACATAAACTATTATCCATTTATTAGTGTACAAAGTTAGGAATCAAAATGATACATGTACAATTGTAAAAGTAATTTCGTTCATCAAATTTGAATTATTCAGTACAATACGTGTAATTCAGAAATCCCTTGGCGAGCAACTTGGAAGGGAGTAGAGGGCTACTGGTAGCTCCCGAGCTACAGGTTGGAGAACCCTGACTTACGTAAAAGCTGGCGGAGTCTACTGATGATGTATGTGATTGTTGAAGGGGTCTCCCAATTCGTAGGGGTTTACTTTCAACCCCTACTCTTTGTTGCTTTGTTGCTCAGTTTCAAGGGGCAATGGGCAGGGAAAGGGGTAGGGGTAGAAATTAGAAATGGGACTAAAGTCTTAGAGCGCTTATAGAAAATATGTAGTTGAATACATTATTTGGTTTAAAGGTCCTTTATTATGCAAAACTGACTGAGCTTTAAGCCATGTTTGCGTAATACTACATTAAAGACCTTTATCGCAGTTGTTGTTCACCTTTAAGCTTTCATTTTTCTTACCTTGATAGTTGTGGTTCTTCATGAAAGAATCTAAATCCTTTGTCGACCTTGTTGGTTGAAGATTTGAAGATGGTGCAGGCAGATTTCTGAAGCTGGTGGAGAATATGCGAGACATTTCCACTAACATTTTGCCATTGAAAACCATTAACCAGAAGTTTCGCAAACCTAAATCGGGCCACTTCCGGCCATTGTACAAAAGGTGTATTAGTCTGTCTACATCTCCAAAGCTCAAAATACTCTCTTCCAACTTGTGATGTCATGTAACTTTTCAAGGTAACAGCTACTTTTTACTTTTTGTTGAGTAGGGATTGGCAATTCCAGGGATGAAATTACCCCAATGATTCTCCTGAAGGTGTGTGGAGTTTATTGGAGCACTTCCTGGAACATCACAAGGTGGAACTCATCTTAACCACGCAAGATGTGTGTGTTAAAGAATAAGAAGTGAATGAAACAAGAAGAAACAACATTATAACATAGATTAGAGAGTAGAGTAATAAATAGAAGTTTAAAATTACTTCACAGCCTGGTGTGTAAAGGTTTAAAAACAGGGGTTAAATCATGTTTGGTTGATTGTTCATTGTTGCCTTTTGATTAGTTAAAGTCCAAGTGTTGTACAGATGTTTATATGATGTAAAATTATTATCATACAGACAAAATGTTTTAACCCAAGCACACAGCATGAGCATCTAAAACAGAAAGCGGAAATCAAACCAGCATTTAATCCAACTATTTACTCTACAAACTTTTGCACCACCTTCTAAACAACTCCACCTTTGGCCCTTTTTTAATACTAATACCACTTTCTCATTTTCACCTGACCAAATAGAGCTGATTTGCGAATAATGGACTGTAATGGCCGTGGCAGTAGCTGATGAGGCTTTGGTTGGGGTACGCGCAAAAACACATGTGAGGTCCCTTTTGTGTTTTTCAGTATAATGAGAATAATGGAGCTCTGTGTCCTCTCACTGTACCCACACGAGGGCCTATTGTTTTAAAGCCTGGACACATCTTGTTTATCACTGGATTCTGTTTTTGAGCCTTTGTTCACTGATAACATGATGGAAATGAGAGGTGATTTGGAGCTGTTGTGTTTTTTTTTTTATGTAATTAGATTTGTCTCAAAGTATCACACCAGGATAATAGATTCTAAGTTTGGTTCACAGTAGCACGTGTAATTATGCCAAACTTGCAAACAACTCCAAAATGGGGTGTGATCTCAAAGTTGCTATTAGCTTCCATTGACGTGTGTAGTTTTTAATTTTTTTTGGTTTTAAAAGTGATTTTTTTTTACCAAATAATGTGTTTGGTTGATATAAAGCTACGACAAATTAACTTTCCAGATTGCATTTTAAAATGTTCTAATAAAATCAGATTTAATCAAGAAATATATCATGTAATTGTCAGTGGTGGAAAAAGTACTCAATTTTATTACTTAAGTTAAAGTACAGACACCAGAGCAAAAAAAACAACCCAAAAACCTCACGCAAAAGTATCACATAAGGCATCAAGTGTAGTGATTTTTATACAAATTTGTGCTGAATCTTCTTCAACAGAAACAAGTGAATCCATCGTTTTTTTAATACTCAAATAGGAAATGTTGAAACAGCGTAGAATAGATTTAAATTTGGTCAGCATTTTTTTTATTTTTTTTAGTAAATATAGATTTTTGGAGAGGCTGAGGGGGCGAATGGTTCTGCTGCTGTGGTGAGGTTTAGAGCATCGGAGCAACTGAAACGGCATTTATTTGAAAGACGCAATTGGTTGAGAGGCGACGACAGCATGGTGTGATTGGCCGACAGTGACATATAAAAAATACTTCTGATTGAATGTACTTTTGGAATGCTAAATCGTGTGTTGTTGTTTGTTTTCGTTGCAGGCACTTCCTCTTTAAGACAGGCACCGGCACCACCCCTCTCTTCTCCACAGCCACGCCCGGATACACCATGGCAACCGGCTCGGTGTATTCTCCTCCCACCAGACCCCTGCCCAGGAACACGCTGTCACGCTCAGCATTCAAGTTCAAGAAGTCCTCCAAGTACTGCTCATGGAGGTAAGAATCAATGCATCTACACATGTCAAAATACTGCAAATATTAGTACTAGTGCATACAAACGTACAAGAATGTATACTGAGTCATCCCACGTACTGTCTGTGCAATCCCTCAGTCGTCCAGGTAGGATCCATCACAAAAGAATCATTCTTTTCTGTCAACAGTCTGTGGGGATGCACTGCACTGAGCTGTGAGCCCAGTCACTATAAAGGATGTGTCAAATGTAGAGTATGAATTTCCCTTACTGCGGATGAATACCTTGTATTACTTGTACAGGGCACCAGAGTCCTGCATGGGTTCATTTTTGGAGGCCTGCACCCGCCCGCTCAGCGCAGTACAGCACCGCACCCGCCCGTTAACCTGTGATTATATCAAAGTTAAACCCGCGTCAGCCTGGACCCGGTAACATTACATCCGTTACCTGCCCATGCTCGTGATAAATTACATACAGATTAAAAACATTCTAAGTGAAGAATCCGAATTGAAAAGTTATGACTTCAAGAATTACAATCACAAAATCAAATGAAATTGTTACACTTTCTTCATTACGAATACAAATTCACAGACGCGACCCGACTGTCATCACTTCACAGGCTTTATTTAGTGAGCAGAAGAAACATGCCACAGACTGAACCAGGACTAACCCAGGACTAACAGAGGACTTACCAAGGACTAACACAGGACTTACCCAGGACTAACCTAGGACTAACTTAGGTCTGGCTCCAGGACTGAATCAGGAGGACTAAACCAGGACCAAACCAGAACTGAACCAGGACTCACTGTCGGGACAGGCTCGGAGGTGCCCCTGTGTTGGGTGACCGCAATTGAAAGGACCGGTGTAGAGCTCTGTGCACTATGGAGGGAAGCTCAGCCATCGCTCGATCGCGCTTTGCGGACACACTGCTCCATGGGCTCGGGGTTCTCCCTCTCTTAAATCCAAGATTAGTGCTGGTTTAGACCTGGTTTAGTCCTGGATTAGCCTGGTGTAGTCCTGGTTTATTCCTGGTGTAGTCCTGGTGTAGTCCTGACCCACCTGTGTGTAATCACTACCCACCCCCATACCGCTGTAAAATTCCAGAACTTTAAAACCCACCCGTTTCAACAAATATTAGCCACGGGGATCCGACTTGGTGCAGGACTTTGCTGGGCATTTCAAACATACAGTATGATGAAGTTCTTTTTGCGGCTGTAGGAACAGGCTTTCAAGTTCAAGTAATAGTATGTGTATCATCAGTACTGCGATTACAGGTTCAGTTAGGCTACATCTATATTGGGGTGACAGTGGTAAAGTGTCCACTCATCCAAAGGTTGACAGTTCAAATCCCACTCTCTACAAAAACATCGCTGGTTGAGCAGTCAGATCCAGTGACCCACAGGTTAGCGGTGCGATTCCAGTTCCCATAGATGATCACTATTGTTGCTTTCTTGGGCAAGACACTTAACCCTCCGTGCCCCTAGTGTCTGATGTAAATGATGTGTCTTGATGTAAAGTGCTTTGAAGATGGAAAAGTGCTACATAAAAAGTGACCATTTATAGGGATGTAACGATATCCAAATCTCACGGGACGATATTATCACGAAATGCGTCTCACCGTACGATATTTATCGTGATATTTTGAAGAGGCTGATATAATTGAAGATGGGACACTTTTTTGCTTTTAAAATACCTTGGAAAGATTTTGGTGTAAATTATTTCCATCATAATCCCAAGAATTCAAGTAAAAAGCAAATATCGTCATGTTTGCACTGAAATGAATCATGGGATATGTAGTTCCCGATGTTTAGAAGCTGTTGGTACTATAAAACCATGCATTTAAGCAAAGAAACTTGTAATTCGATATATTCTGAGACTTTTGACGATACAATATCACTTTATTGTGACATCCTTAACCATTTACCATCTATAAGAAATAGTTTTAATGTCAATACCAGTATAAATGCCCATAGTATTTGTGATTAGTTGCGCTATGAGCAATACTGCAGCATTGTAAGTAGTAGAAGTAATAGTAGGAGAGGTAGTAGTGTTTATACAGTAAGTACTCTAACTCAAATTTGTATTAAGCTGGAATTGTATAATTTCTGACTGTATAATAGATTTCTTTCCACCAAAACGTTCAGTGCAGGTTGTAACCAATTCCTCACTCAAGCCAGTTAGGTTCTTTTTCTGATACTACCAAACAAAAAAAGAAAGAAAGAAAAGATTTTACAATTCTATTCCTTCTCCTCCTTGACTGCAGACGGATGACGAAATGAAGCGCAGTGGAAACAAATCAATAATCTAATTCCATAACCAAGCATTTGTGTGACAGCCCCAACAGAGCTGAGCAGATGAGACGAGAGGAGGAGGAGGAGGAGGTCTGTCACTCGTTCATTTAGAAAAGACGTTGTTAAACTCTGAGTAGCGACGAGAGCCAGGTCAGTGACTAATTGGTGTGTGGGGGAGTGAGAAGTGTCTCTAAAGTGCGCGCTTCTTTTAAGGTAGAGTTTAAAGTTAAGTGAAAATTGCACCCGGCGATCCAGTTAGTAAGAGAGACGAGCTGACCACTTATTTTTCCCTGATAAATGTAATTAGACCATTTTAAGCTTCTAACCCCAAAGATTAGTCATGTCATAGATGAAAATAGGATGATCATTTTTTATTCTTGTTTGACTCAAAGCTATGACTTAATTTTAAATGGCTTAACAAATGTGCTTTTAGATCATCGCCGCAGCAACAAAGTACAGTATGTTTATTTAAAAACTGCGCCAATGGAATTTTAAAACTTCAGGCCAAATGATATGTAAGTCCACTGCTCTGCCTAGAATGTTCTCGGTGTTACATTTATTCAGTTACATATGGTTTAATTGCTCAAAAATACCTAGAAAAACATGTATTCTGACTGTGAGCGGTGTCGCCTCTCCGCAGATCTGACCTGTAACTTGGTCTGGTTTGGTTTCCATGGAGATAGAAAGGTTTAATGCCATACTGTGAAACATTCCAGACAAAGCAATAACATCTCCACGGAGAAAAGCATTTGACGGACCAAAAAAGTTACGCAATACACCTTTGAATATTGTTTTTATTTCAGTTTGATAATCAGCATTCTGTACTCATTATTTATTTATTTTGTACTAGAACACAGGTGTCAAACATGCGGCCCGGGAGCCAGATCCGGCCCTCCAAGACCTTTAATGTGGCCCTTGGGTGATTTTCTACTGAAATATTTTTATTATATTTTCTATTAAAATATTGTTAATTTTCTGCATCACTTAGCATAGCAGCGTCTCCAGAGCCTCTGTACGTGGCCCCTCCCACCAGAGCTGCACAAATGAAGACTTGTCTCTTTCCAAACGCTCTTAAAGGACGATCGTTTTGACTGTTGACCGTGACACCCTCATCAGAAAAATTTCCAAAATGAGAAAAGTGGAGCCGAGTGCAGGATTTTCCAAGAAAAATTTATTTATTCCTATTTGCATACAAGTTAATGTTAAAACTTTGTGTTGAAATTGCATTTTTCTTAAAGTTTCAGGTTGTTCATAATATTATAATATTATAATAAGAAAGAGTTCATCAATTAAAAAAGATTACTGTAATAGATTTGCGTTTCTCAAAATGAGTTTGACACCCCTGTACTAGAACTATAATTCGAGGCAGAGGTGGGGACTTGCAAATTGTGACTTGTGACTATTTTTAGGACTTGAGACTTGATTTGATAAAATGGACAAAGACTTGGGACTCAACTTGGACTTGAAGATCAATGACTTGGGACTTGACTTGAGCGCCGTGACTTGATGCTTCTCCTACAAATAAATACGTTTTTAGAAAATACTTTTCTCTTTACGGTTGATAAATGTGGTGCTTAATTTCACAGGAACAAACTTGAACATGTCCCTCCAACTTTTCTATTTGTTACTTTGGATGTAACTGAAGTACTGCTAGACGGTATCCTCAGATGTACTACAGTAAATCAGCGGGAACTACAAAGAACATGATCCTTCCATTTCAGACAAAATAACTGTTATTTAGCACTTTAAAATCTAAACTCTTTCTGTTCAGACCGTAATGATTCACACTTCGATCTTGTCTAGACATTTAAAAAGGAAACATTTCTACAACTCAAATATACCATGATTTTTTAAGTACACTGTAGTTTAAAATCTATATAAACTGCAAAAATCTAAGCTGTATTTGGTACTGTTATGATAAATAACTAGGCTTAGCTATTTTGTTGAATCACTTCTATAGCTGATTATTGTACCAAGATCATTTATTTAAAGATATGGGCTCTGATCACTCATATGTCAAGACAAATCCATGATATTCCAATCTATCTAAAAGCAAACTAACTAAATAGGACAAGAACTACTGATGATGTGACTTGTTAGCCAGATAACACCCCGGTTGGAGTCTGACTGGACTGTGCAACGTGCCAAGAGACCTCGCTGACCTGTGCACCAACGAAGAGGCGCTAAGTCTAAACCACGATATCCTCCCACTATAATTTGCATAGAAAAGTCATTGTCTCGGCGTAAAACATTGAGTCTCTGCTTGGGAATGTCAGCACAGACTCCGTGTACAAGTATGGCGTTTTAATATTGGAGTGAAGCAAATTATCTGGATTTTATTTCTGTTTCAAGGGTAATTTTTATCTCAGCAGAAACTAAAAGGTCGTTTTCCTTAACAGTACTTTGGTTTAAAGACTTCAAATGACTCGAAGCTCAAAGCAGACGACTTGGACTTGACTTGGACTCATGGGCTTGTGACTCGAGACTTGACTTGGGACTTGCATGTATTTGACTTGGGACTTGACTTGGACTTGAGGTCAAAGACTTGAGATTTACTTGCAAAACAATGACTTGGTGCCACCTCTGATTAGAGTACAAATGCCCAGTATTACCATTACAGGAATATTGTTAGTACTAATAGGTAGTAGTCGCAGTGGTGGTGGTATGATAGTAGTATTTTTTGATGTTTTAAAGTATACATCGAGTTTTAGACGTAGTTTAGTAATGACCATATATTTATTCATAAACCATGCAGCTCTTTGTTTTGATCATTACGATAGCTTTGAATTTAACATTGCACTTCTGTGATTCCTCAGCTCTCCGACGCATTTTCTTCTTTAAAAATATCTTAAATTCACGCCACAGTCCCCTGCCTTCCTCTCTCCCTCTTTCTCTCTCTCCACTCGTCTGCTCTTATCTGTCTATCCTCCCTTTCCTATTTCCTATTCACTAAACTCCCCAAACATCCCTTCAGCCATGTGCAAAGAGCCAGCCTTGGACTCCTCGCACTCCGTTGATTTTAAGCAGTAGACTAGACTTTTCTCTTTTTTATTTCATTTTTTTTTCACACTTTTTTCTTTCTTTTTCGCTGGGTATGTTTTTGCGAAAATGACACCTCCAGCGCCCCTTAATTTCAAACCGCAGCTAACTCCTGGGTGTCTGAAAAGTATAGATTTTCTCCAAAGAAAAACAGAAGTGGATTTAATCAAACATTGGTCCCGAATAGCTGAAGTGCCGTAAGCCGCAATTTTTTTAAAAGTATTTTTTTATATATTTTTTTTTATTAAGAAAATGGTATGCAAAGATGTCTTTCATTTGACAGGCTCCAAAATGTATGTGATTTGATACTCAATTATAGCTCCAGTGGGCTCAGCGAGAAATCCAATCTCAAGGGCTTTCTTGCCAAAAAGGAGATGACAATTTGATTCAGTGTTACTTCATCTGCCTATGGCCATATGTTCCAGACGCGTTTGCTAATATTAATAATTTGAAACATCAATCTTGTGTTTTTTTTCAAGAAGTTGGCTGTTTGGTTAAAACACTTCTGATAGAAAATGTATACTCAGAGTTTAAAGCGAAGTATGTGGGGAAGGGCCCGTATTGCATTTGACCCATTGTTCAATTTGAATGTGGAAATCTTCTCCAGAACTTGACCAAGGAGTAAGTAGATGGAGGATTATCTTAGTGTAAATCTTATTTGGGGAAAAGGAGAACTCATTTCCAATTTTCTTGCGCAGTAACAAGAGTGTGAGAGAGTGAGACAAAACTTAAAGCAAACTCTAATATCATCTCTGTCTTTAAAACTGAACAGATTTTTTTGCTGTAATATTACAAAAGCTAAAACATGCATTGAAAATAGTATCTACTTTTTACTTATTGTTCAGCAGAGATTGGAAATTCCAGGGCTGAAATGATTCTAGTGAAAGTGTATGGAGTTAAAAAACACAGTGGAGCACTTCCTGTTTGCAGTTTGAGATAAGAATTCACCATAAATATGCAGTGTTTGTGTGTTAAACGTGTGAATGAAACAAAACACAAGTCCAGGGATGTTTGTGATGAGGAAACATTATAAACATTATAACAGATCAGAAAAATCACTTAATCTGGACTCTTCTAGATTATGGATGCTTGAAAAGACCAAAGGTGCAGAATACCAGAATCCGTGTATCATTCGTTCATTTGTTTTTCAAAATAAAACCAAAAATAAGAAAACGAAAAAACAACAGTTTGCTTCATTATTTGTCTCCAAAACCAAAATGAAAAAAACGGATAACGATTCATTTTTTCAGTTTTCGATTTTATGTTTAAATGAATAATGGAAAAAAAACAGATAACGAGTGTTTCCCATTTCCATGACTTAAACTGCGATGCTGGATTTTTGCGCTGCATACGGACTGAACCAGAACTAAACCAGGTCTAAACCAGGATTGAACCAGTACTGAGTGTCGGGATGGGCCCACAGGTGCGTCCGCATAGACTGTCGGGTGATCAGGACTGAGACCGGGAACAGGACCAGGACTGAGACAGGAACTGAGACCGGTTTAGTCCTGATTTAGTCCTGGTTTTGTCCTGGTTTAGCCCTGGTTCAGTCCCAGTTTAGTCCTGGTTCAGTCTTGGTTGAGTCTTGGTTCAGTTCTGGTTCAGTCCATATGCGATGCAAAAGTCCGGCATCACAGTTTAAGTCTCGGAAACCATTATCTGTTTTTTTTTTTCATTTTGGTTTTGGAGACAAATAATGAAGAAAATTGTTGTTTTTTCATTTTCTTATTTTTGTTTTTATTTTGAAAATAAATGAATGAATGAACGAATGATACATGGATTTACCAGCCACATCTCTACCAGTCTGCCCTGAGGTGACTGTGACTATAGTGAAATACAAGATCAATATTTTTAGTCCGTTTCTTCCCTTTTTTAACTTAAATCAACGTATCGGTACATTTAAAAACATTATTGTCATTTACAGGGACAGCGAGGCCATTATAAAAACAAAGCATATTGTTCTTTAAAGATTGCCATCTACCAACACAAGAGACAAGCGCTCTTCAAGTTGTAATTTATGCTTAGTTTGCATCGCGTTGATTAATGTGGTCGTAAAAGTAGCGGCCGGCCTATCTTACCATCTGTATTCGAATAGGCGCTGGTCCATTTGTATGTACAATCGACTGCTAGGCTACCAATCACCTGAACCAGCCTGCTCTGAATAATGCTGTTGTCACTATAGCTGCTTATTTGTAAGAGGCCTATGCTGTATTGAATGTAATGACCATCTCTCTGGCCCATTTCTCCACACCAAGGTTAAAGAACTAGTTTGCATTTTACAGAAAGCATTCACACTCTTTATATACAGAGAGGATTCAGAAAGTCCTTGCTTTGAGTTGTAGGGTTTCAGACAGCATCACAACATTCTGTAGATCAATAATGTTTAGTACAGCTGGGGGTAGTTAAAATTAGTATTGTTAAAATGCAAATTTGTGTTGTAATACTGCGAGTTCTTGGGTTTAGTCAATCTCTGGATCCAATTCACCTCACTTTGAAACATTGTCTTCCCTCTCTCTGTAACTGCTGCAGTGGGAAACCTTGCAAATATCACTTTACAAGAAAACAAAAAAAAAGAAACAATTAAAGTCTTAGGCCCCGTCCACACTAGTACGTATTTGAGTCGTTTTTGTTGTGGATGCAGTGTTCGTCCACGCTAATCCGAATGAAAACAGCTCCAGAGACGGAACGATCTGGTGCCGCCAGCTCCCACAAATTCATCTGAGTACAGATCTGATCTGGCACTGTGTGGATGCCTGAAAACGCTGATATGCTGCCTTAGGTGTCAACACACTAAGACGCTAGAATATATGTCCATTCATATTTACATTTTATGCATATGACTTGCAGACGTATAATCTCTGAAAAGTTTAACATGAACCATCTCCAACGTGACAGAAGCACAGAACAGACTCAGCATCAGCAGAACACCCCTCTGTCACAGAAAGAACACATATAATCCACTGAGTCGTGTCCTTTAATCTGACAGAAGCTGAACCGCATCAGTGCACAATAGCAAGATGTTTTTTGAGCGCTTAGTTTATGCAAATTAGCCATGCAGTTTTGAGTTTTGTTTCTGGAAAACGTAAACAAATATGCTCAAAGCTGTGTGGATAGGGAAAGCTTACGTACACAGAAATGACATGTCTGGACGCGAATCATTTCCGATACGGTGATTCGTTTCAGTGTAAACGTAGTCTTATATTACACAAAATTGACTCTTGTAAGCTGTAAGCCATGTTAGAATGCTGTTACCTCATCAAAAACATACCTGGAGTCGTGTTTTGTTTCGTTCACACATGTTTGAGAAATCATTCTTTATTCATCTGTCGACATCTCAAAATGCTCAGAACGCTCTGTTCTTACTTGTGAGATCATGAAGTGGTAGTTTTCAAGTTAACAGACACCTTTTACCTTTTAGAGATCAGCAATTCCAGGGATGAAATTTTACAAGTGAACCACAACATTATAACATAGATCAGAAAAAAAGCGTAATATGACACCATTAAATGTAAGAGTACCATTTGAAATACACTATGACTATGTGTTGGCTATGTGTTTGCACCAAGGTTCAATCATAAACACAGAGAAAAAAAAAAACTCCATTACAATGTCTATGGATCTGAATATTTTTCTCCTTTTATCCTCCAGGTGTACGGCTCTCAGCGCGGTGGGTCTGTCAGTACTGCTCTCAGTCCTGCTCTGTTACTGCATAGGTAAGGACACGCTGATGTTATTTTCACACATCAACACAACAGAATATAAACATACAGTTAAGCCTGTAAATATGCATCCTGTACTGTAGTCAGTCTAATCATGAATTGTGAAACAGATAATGGACTTATAGTTGTTTTTCTATCTTATTTACCCTCTTAAAGTTGTATTTGTACAAATGAAAAAACACTGCCCCTTGCTATGATCTGTAGCTATCCATCGGAGGTACTGATAACTGTGCGGCTCTTTGTTGTGATGACATTTATGTACTGCTTGTATTAGATATTGCGATTGAAAATGTCCAAATAATAACAAAATGATCCACGTGTGTCTTAGACCAGTGGTCCCCAACCTTGTGCCATGGACCAGTTTTATATCCGACAATATTTCGTGGACCAGAATGGGTTGGGGGGGCTGGCGTAAGAGAAGAGGCACAGTGCGTGGTCTGCTGTCCGCGGTGCATGGTTAAGTCCTGGCTAAATCCTGTTTTAGTCCTGTTTTCGACCCAGTTTTCGACCTGGTTTTAGTTCAGATTTTGTCCTGGTTTATTTCTGGTTTAGTCATGGTTTAGTCCTGGTTTTAGTTCTGGTTTTAGTCCTGGTTTTAGTTCTGTTTTCATCTTGGTTTTAGTTCCGTTTTAGTCCTGGTTTTAGTTCTGGTTTAGTCCTGGTTTTAGTTCTGTTTTCATCTTGGTTTTAGTTCCGTTTTAGTCCTGGTTTTAGTTCTGGTTTAGTCCTGGTTTTAGTTCTGTTTTCATCTTGGTTTTAGTTCTGTTTTTTCCTGCTTTTAGTTCTGTTTTAGTCCTGGTTTTAGTTCCGGTTTAGTCCTGGTTTTAGTCCTGGTTTTAGTCCTGGTTTTAGTCCCGGTTTAGTTCCTGGTTTAGTCCTGGTTTAGTCCTGGTTTTAGTCCTGGTTTAGTCCTGGTTTTAGTTCCGGTTTAGTCCTGGTTTTAGTCCTGGTTTAGTCCTGGTTTTAGTTCCGGTTTAGTCCTGGTTTTAGTTCTGGTTTAGAGGTGCGGCCCGCGTGACATATGGGAGGGGGGTGCACAGTCCGCGCGGTGTGTGGGAGCGGGAGTTTGCACTTTTGCGGCCCGGTACCAACCGACCCACAGTCCGGTCCTGGTCCCCGGCCTGGAGGTTTGGGACCCGTGTCTTAGACTATAAAGCAGACACAAGCGCTGTATGTTTTAAATCGGATACGGCTGTGCTATAAGACTAGAAACTCGGCCCTCATTTCCCTTTTACAATTCAAGTTTCAAATATATTTATTAAAGTTCTCAATAGTATGCATATTTTTGGCTTAACTGTAAAAAAAAAAAACAATTGAACACACACACACACACACACACACTTACCCATGTGTTTGTGCCTTTTTTTTTGGGTCTAACTTCTCCCATGGTTTGACAAATGAGACTTTTTATTCATTCGTCCCCTGATGTGTCCCCTCTTAATCTATCTGTTATTGTCCCCCCTCCATCTTCTCCATCCTCCTCTCTCTCCTCTCTCTGTCTCTCTACGCCTCCCCTCCTTCCCCTTTATCTCTTCTTACGCAGTTCTTCCCCCGTCTCTCTCTCTCTCTCTTCTCTGTTTCTCTTGTTTTTTCAGCTTCTATCCTCTCTCTACCTCCTCCTTTTCTCTCGCTCCCACCGTCCTCATCTCTCTCCCTCGCCTTCCCTTGCTCCTTCTCCATCTCCCTCCTTCTTTCTCTCTCTCCTCTCTCATTCCCCTCATCTGTTTCCATTCCTCTCTGTCCCCTTTTTCTCTCACCTCCTTTTCTCCATCACTCCTCTTCTCATTCCCCTCTCCCTAATCCCTCTCTTTCTCCCCTTCTCTCGCCTCCTTTTCCCTTACCCTCCCTGTTTCCCTCCCTACTCTCTGTATCGTCTAGCCGTCTTGGTCCCTCTCTCCCTCCTTCTCTCCTCTTCTCTCCCTCCCCTCTCTATCTCCCCGTCTTTCACCACCGCCTCCCTCCCTTCTCTCCTCACCCCTTTCACGTTATCTCTCTTTCTCCCTCTCTATCGCTCACCTCCTTTTCTCTCACCCTCCCTATTTCACACTCTTCTTCTCTCTCCCTCTTTCCTGTCACCAACTCCCGCCATATCTCCCGTCGCTCTCTCCCTTCTCTCCTCAGCCCTCGCTTTTTTTCTGCCCCCTCCTCTCCCCTGTGTGTCTGTATTGGTTTCCTGTGTGTGATTGGAGCCCATCAGATAAACAGGGAGCGGTGTATCCCTCCCTCAGGCCGCCTGCTCTGTTTTAAACTCAGGATGTGTGAAATCTTACATATATTTTATGCTCCATTTTCCTCCAGTCCAACATGCTTTTTCTATTAAGATGTGATACACTTTTGGCAGGAGAGCTTTTCACTTTTTGCATTGGACTTTGGCGTTTCACAGAAGTTGGAGATAGGACATGTATGGTTTTGTTATGCTACCAGGGGCGTATAATGTGCACTGTAAAACTTTTGACCAAACACATAGTACCACATCTGTGTATTTGATGTATTCAGGACTTAAAAATATTACATTCTTATATTGTCGTGAGGGCAACATTTACAATAGTAAAAGGTTCCTTTGTTTTATGTTGTGTTTTACTTTATTACTAACATAAATGCTGGTAAAATTTATTATTATATGGTCTGGTTTTGTACTGGGGTAAATTTATCTTTGTAATAAGGGTGAGTTTACAGTTTTCTCACCACTTTCTCTCAGCTCAAAAATATTAACAATTGTATTTTTAATTTTAATTGCGTTCACTCCACACTTGATTCAGTTTTGAATGTTTTACAATTAGAAAGTAAGTTTATCAAATATGTGTTTTAGTACAAGTAACATACAAAACCAAAGTACAAACAAATATCTATTAATCATCATATTACTGTATTTTTCGGACTGTAAGTTGCTCCGGAGTATAAGTCACACTTTTTGGAGGAAATGTACTTTATAAAATCAGAGACCAGGAAACAACATTTCATCTTGAAAATAATAGAACAGAGAACAACAGGCCGTTAACGTCACATATGAACAGTTAGTATAACTACAGCATAAACATCAGAACAGAACAAGTTTACCAACTCCATCTTACTCCAAATCACTAAATCCATTGAATTCTTCATCCTCATTGTCACTTCTGAGCAACACTGCGACCTCCAGAGGTAAACAGAGCGCTGCTTCCTCTTCTGTGTCGCTGTCATCAGACTCGGCATCAGTTCCAGTTAGAGTTATTCTGGCTTTTCTGAATCCCGACAGGATGGTTTCAATTGTCATTATGTTTGTTTAAAATTTTAAATTGTCAGTGATACAGTGGTAAAGATGCGATCGACTGATATGATACAGACAGGATAGTGGCTCTTTCTTTTTCTTCTGCAGTCGACATGCGCAGTAAAGTTTGTCACTTTACTGCGCATGTCGACTGCGTAGAACGCCTAGAGCGCCCTCTCATGGCTGTCAGTGTGAAAATTTTAACATATAAATCGCACCAGGGTATAAGTCGCAGGACCACCCAAACATGAAAAAAAGTGAGACTTACACTCCGAAAAGTACGGTATGCTTTATGCAGACAACCTATGAATAGCCAGTCACTTAAATTGTATTTCATTTAATCTCTTTACTGATAAGAAAAGCAGAAAAGCTTTACTCTAATCTATGGTAGCTATGCCTGTATAGAGACATCCAGCACTAACATTACACACATTTGACACACATAACATTACACAAAACTTTCTTTGTCAAGTCTAAATAAGCCGATTCAGTCCACCATACATTTTTGTCACCTTTTCAATGCATTTTTAACTTCAGCTAAATAGCTGTACATAAATAGCAACTGAAAGGCCTTGTATCTGATTTTTACTCTTGTAAAAGCATGAAAAATGTCAGTAGTTCATTTGAAATGGTTTGCAGTGGTCCAAAGTTATCGCTCATTTACCTTATCCATTCGAAGCACCCTAATTATTCACCAAGACGAGTTTATGAGCGCTTTTAAACTCTCAGAGGCCAGAGTTTTGCCATGACTGTAACCCTAACAACAACTAGCATGCTAACACACACTTATACAGTGGATTTATTTTGACCTTAAGAGCTGTTTATAAAAACTAGTGATGTGGCATTCGCAGTGTTTCCCACAGAAAATTGGTTAGTCAAGGTGCCGGTGAAAGGCGAAAGTAAGAACTGGCCGCGACGACTGCAGTTTTGCGAGGATTCTCGTGGTTCGAAGGGACGTAGTCAAGGCGAGGGGCAATTGTTGTAAAGGTGCCTGCCCTAACTATACAGCTCTGAGGGAAACACTGCATTCGTGAACAAGCCTGCTCTTTCTTACGCCTCCTTTCTAGTTTTTATGCAGTTTTGTCCTGATTAGCGCTGAACCAACATAAGAATTGGCACAAAAGCAAGGGGCAGGTGAGAAGTGTTTGCACAGGGAAAAAAAAATCTGGCATCATAATAACAGTTAGTTTAAATTAATATTATTATTGTGCAACATTTAATTGAGATCATGCATAATAAACACACCCACTCAGTTTGAACCATTTCTGAACCTTGGTCCTTTCTCTCTGTGATTAGTTTGTAGATAAAATGACTTCTTACATTGGCTTCTTTCGTATAAATAAACAGTAAAAGAGCCAGTCTTTTGAACGTCTCTTTGAAATGAACAGATCCAAAAGATTCGGATCCCATGAAAGAGCCGAAAATCCCGTCACTAATCTATACTGAAGCAAGACACATTTTGCTCAGAAAGGAAGTAATTTACAGACCCTTTTAGCTACAATCCTTTCTTATTGAACTGTGACTAGATTTCAACATGAGGCAAATGCATTTTTCTTTGGTGGACACTTTCATTCGCGGGGAGAGAAAATTTTGGAATACAAACAGTTTGCTGGAGGGTACGCCACAGCGAGTTTGGGATCCTGGCACAGGCTCCGTTCTGTGGTGCGGCCAAACCTTATCCTTTAAAACCAAAAAGAGAAGAAAGAAAAAACAACGCACGCATGAATCACCTCCTCCAGTTACTCAT